ACCGTCACATTATAATGCCCCCACGGCTGAAAGGGCGAACATGTTTTGGTGTGATGGGGATTCAAACCCGCGACCTTCAGATTGCGAGTCGAGTGCCCTAACCACCTGGCCATGCCGGGCCTTCTACAGAAAAGAAAATTAGGAATATAAAAACAGGAATAACTAACATTTTTGACAGATATACGTGTGGTATACAGACATACCATACGTTTTCTACCTTCTGATTTAAATGTAAAAAAAATATCAATTTTCTTTATTTATTCTGAATTGATGCAGCTTTAGCATAACATGTTCATTTATCTATACCTGTTCAGACCATGGACATTTTGTTGTAAAGCTGCACGTTGTGCATGAATGCATGTATTTGTAAATGGTAGGTGGAGTGATATTTTGCGGTTGTGGCCTCCTCTTTGTTGAATAAGAATAACTAGTAACGTGGTTATCGCTAGTCACTATGGGTAAATGGAATTTTCACGTTAAGTAAAAAACGGTATATTTCAACAATAGTTCACTGGATATAAAGTGAGTTGGTTGACGGGAAGACATCTTGAGGGAAGAAAGCCAGTTGATGAATTCCGAGTCCAGTAACTCCCCTTTGTTGAATAAGAATAACTAGTAACGCGGTTATCGCTAGTCACTATGGGTAAATTGAATTTTCACGTTAAGTAAAAAACGGTATATTTCAACAATAATTCACGGGATATAAAGTGAGTTGGTTGACGGGAAGACATCTTGAGGGAAGAAAGCCAGTTGATGAATTCCGAGTCCAGTAACTCCCCTTTGTTAAATAAGAATAACTAGTAACGTGGACATCGCTAGTCACTATGGGTAAATGGAATTTTCACGTTAAGTAAAAAACGGTATATTTCAACAATAATTCACGGGATATAAAGTGAGTTGGTTGACGGGAAGACATCTTGAGGGAAGAAAACCAGTTGATGAATTCCGAGTCCAGTAACTCCCCTTTGTTGAATAAGAATAACTAGTAACGTGGTTATCGCTAGTCACTGTGGGTAAATGGAATTTTCACGTTAAGTAAAAAAAGGTATATTTCAACAATAATTCACGGGATGTAAAGTGAGTTGGTTGAGTGGAAGACATCTTGCGGGAAGAAAGCCAGTTGATGAATTCCGAGTCCAGTAAAAGATGACCGTCCAGTCTTTAACGGAAGTACGTACATTGCGTTTTTATCTTGGTAATAAATATAGATTGTCTCACTTCTGTATTATACATCGTTTTCAGTCTGTTTATTTCTTTGTTTGAGCACAGTCAGTTTACCTAATATTTCTTACGGAAATAAGTTTAACCAGAACAATGTAAGAATTACTCAAAATACAGAATGTTTCTCTGAAGATGATTATTTTAAACTGACGAAGAGCTCTGAAGAAATCAACGATTAGTAAAATTATCTTAATATATTTTCTGGCTT